CCTGCCCACCAAGCTGGGATCAGTTAAAGACACATTGAGGCAAAGTTTCTGTGCTGCCAGGAGTGTAAAGCAGCCAAAGGGCTTTAATTGCCTTATTCCACATATATTAATGTATGAAGCATCATTAGGTACTGTGGAAGAATAAATATATCCTATCATGGCACAAAGACAAGACATTCTTGAAAATTATGACTCAGTAACAAGCTGATATTATTTCTCCGTCTCAATCAGTGCCACAATTGTTTTTCTGCTCTCTGCTTCCCAGCTCTCAGAGCAGTAACTTTTCCCCACAGCACTGTAACTGAGAACACCAGCCTGATACTGACTGCTCTTCATTAGCATCCATTTAAATGAGAGAGAGAGAAGGAGAGACCGGTATTTGTTCCGGGGATTATGAGCAGTAATAGATTCTTTCTGGGGACTTTCTTTTGCTTCTGGGATTTGCCTGCACTAAGCTTTGGGCTTGTAGTTTGTGATCAGTGGTGTTACACTAAACCACACTTAAGGAAGTGCTCAAAGTCCCTGTGAGAAAGATAAGAGCTCTTTTCTCCTTGGCCTGGCTTTAGCCCTGACATTAGGTCTGCAAATGACTCTGTCAGGCTATATAAGGGCTGAGTTGTCTCTGCCTTGGGCACTTCCTGCCACAAATCAGTTTCTTCTTATCTCAATTTATCTTGCTTACAGCTGTAATGCCCTGAGGACTCTCTGCTCTGGATTCCCCTCTCTGGCTGGCTTCAGCTGGGTGCCAAACCCAAACTGTTGCACCAGCCAGAGCTCCATAGGTAGCTGATCCCCTGGGATAGCCCCATCCCACAGCAGGAACACTGCAGTGGGGAGCCATGGTGGGATCAGCCTGAGCCTGCAGCCACCCCAACTCCCAGCTGTGAATCCTGGCAGCCTTTCCAATGCAGCACACAGAGCTCTGCCGTGCCTGGCACAGCACTCTGTCTCCTGGTGCTCAGCATTGTCCTCCCTTCGCTTTCTGGCTGTTCTCTTCCTGGCTTCCACCCAGAATGAGCTGTGCGCCCACCCGTGCACACAGTAGCTTGTCCCCATCCCGCTTTCACCCTCCCAGATGCCCTACAGAGAGCCCTTGAAGCGTGCTCTGCCATCCCACACGGACTGTGCCCATGGTGTTGCCCTTGCAGACCCTGCTTCCCTCCCAGTGCCGCCTGTGCTGGTTCCATCCACGCTGCTTTTCAGCATGACAGTGAAATCTCCATCCCACAAAAAATGAGAGGAGACCTTTTCTTCTCGAGAGAAGGTAACATTTAAAGGCATCCCTTGGGCTACTCTATCTGGCAGCCCAGCTGGTGCTCTTTTGTGTGAGTGCCACTCTTGAAATGCCAGCTTTGGTCTTAAAGGCAGTCAGCAGAAGGCAGGGCTTGCTCCCACTGTAATTGATTCCTCACTGGCCTTTATTCTCTCTTTTGTTTGGGAAGAAGGGATAATACAGATTGCAAGAGAAATGTGAATATTGTCTTGTTTGGGGAGAGGTAACAATAGGATTGTCAGTATCCTGGAATTTTTCTTGTGTTTGTCTGTCTCTGGTCAGCTGGAGAGATTCAGCAGCAGATACGTGGCCTGCCTTTGTGTGTGCCTCGCCACCAGGTGCCATTAGGAAATGCCAGACACATCTGATGGAAGAGATGGGGAAAGAGCAATGACTAAACAAATAGGTAACAAAACTGCCAGCTGGCTTCGGACTCTAATACAGGAAACTGGGCGTGATAGTAGTACAAAACCAGATGGAGCTGAAGCTTCATCCATATTTAGTTTGAAGAGCTGACGTCTTTGCTATGCTTCTGGGAGGAAGCATTCTCATGATGAGAATGTTCCTAGAGAAGGGGGGTTTTGTGGTCCTTTCCCAGCCTTGGAGAGGCTTTGTAACTTAGCTGGGATTGCATGTAGGCTGTGAGCAGCAGATCTGACCCTCCTTTGCAACTCTGATTTGTAAGGCAGTCGTGGACACATTGCTTGGCTCTTTTGACCCTCAGTTTTCCAGGTGTAGACAGGTATGGTGAAACATGGCATGTTGTGGGCAGACAAAGAAGCTTCCTTTCCAATTTCAAACGGCTTGAATAACACCTGCGTGTGTTCAGTATTGTTCTGCTGGAGAATTTGGGGGCCAAAAGGTTGAATGCTTCAAGGACAGCAGGCTGTCAGTGAGGACACGCTTAGGCTCAGTTTGGGTTCAGGCCAGGTATTCACAGCCAGTGCTTTGGGAGCACTAATTTGCATTCCGGATGCTTGTATGAGTACCTTTCTATCTCACCGTCTCTTTTATCCTGCGGCATAGCAGAGTTCATTTGCTGCTTGATTTGTCTCAATGCTGGCTGCTCAGCCAGGCTCTGGAGTGGTAGATCCTAGCTGCCATCCCTAAGTGAGGCTGGAATGGACAGCAGTTGACTTTAATCCTTGCTTGCTGGCAGCTCCATATCAGTACTTAATTTAGTCTCAGTCCCTCAACTCACCAGCTCTGACTGCTGTAATTAGCTGCTCTGAACACGCTCATATTGACATTGATCTATGGGATTATGTAGATCCTGTGTGGGCTATCAGTTTGGCTAAGGGCTCCAGTGAGGACTAGGTATTCTTCCTAGTGAGGCTTCCCTCATAAGTTGTTTCTGAGGGTAGGGTGGGCACCAAGAAGCCAGAGGCTCAAAACTGGTTTTGCCAGGGGCTCCCATGGTGACCCGTGCTTCCAGGAGGCAGATCCCACTTGCTTACTTCTGCCTGAGGTTGTGCAGTGGCAGCTGACCAAAAGAGGAACAAAGTCATGTTATTCCTCATTCGAAGTGGGAAACTCAGAATCATTGGGGAAGTAGTTTGATATATTCACTATCCTAATATTTCCAGACAGAAAGATGTTTTGCCATCCTTCTCTTATTCATCTTTGAGTCACAGGAATTTGAGGGGAGGTATTAGCTCTGCAGGCTGGCCAGAATGCATCCCAGGTGGTGGGACATCCCCTCCCTTCCTGCTGTCTTGCCCTCTCCCTGTTTGTTCAGGTCTTCATCTATTTATCTCAGCCAGCCTTAATGTTAGTGCTTCAGAATATTTCCAGTCAATAACCATGTCCGTCTTTTCTCAGTTCACTAAATTATACACATACTTCATTCTTTTAACCTTTTCTTGTAAGTCAGCCACTCAGAATCTAAACATTTCATCATCTTTATTATGCATCTCTGAACTGCTTGTGATGTATCTTGCTCTCTGTCAGCAAGGCACTCAGCAGGAGTACTTCCAGGTCCCTGTCCTTCACACAGTACCCCTAGGGCTGACATGCCAAGAAGGAAGGATTTCAAGATACTGTATAGGAAGGAGATTATCTAAGAAAGTCTCTCTCCCTATTGCTTTCCCTGAGCTCTCGCTGCTCCCAGAAAGCCAGACCCAGGCAAGAAGGCAGCATCCCAAGTGCAGATAGACAATGGACGTTTAAGTAAGGGTTGTTATTGCCTCTCTGCTCTCAGGGGTAATATGTCTGTGTATCAGAAACACTGATGAGCAAGAGAGTGACTAGATTCCTGATTAATTTTTTGGTTCATCAGCTGAATTGAAAAAAAGAAAGTGTTTCAGTTCAGCCCTGAATGAGTGTTTAAAAATGTGTTTTTATTGAAACAAAAAAGGGAAAAAAAGTCAATTGGGGAGGATTACTAAAAAGATATAGTAGGTAGACAGTTTCATTTGTGGGTAGAGGGGGTATGTGACACTTTTCAAATGAAAACTGGAAATGCTTTCAGATTTGTTGGCTTTGTTTTTGTTTTAGTGGCAGACAAAACCTTTTGGGAATTTTTTGATGGAAAGGGCTTAAAGCCAGTGCTGATTCAGAGTGTGATTTTGTGTCCCTCTGAAAATGTGGGAGCAGGCATGAGAGGCAGTGCTGCAGAGCACCAGCAAAACACGCTTGTGTGCTTCAGGGCAAGTAAGTAACCAGGACAAGTGGCTGCTGAGGACACAGGTGATATTTCTAAGGACCAGGGTCAGGAAAAACTGTAGACTAAATATGCCACGTGACAGTGGTGGAAGAGGAGAGGGGAATGTGTATCCTAGGACTCTCAGTTCAAGTGGGATGTGGACCAACTGGTGTGGATCCAACACACAGTCATCAGGATGGAACAGGAGCAGAAATGCTAGGGAAGAGAGGTTGAGGGAGCTGGGCTTGCTCTGTCAGTCTAAGAGGAGGCTGCTATCAGCCCACGACCACTGTTTGAAAGGCAATTATAAAGGTCACGAATCCAAACTCTTTTCATAGGATCACAGAATCATAGAATGCCTGGTTTGAAGAGGACCACAATGATCATCTAGTTTCAACCTCCCTGCCATTGACAGGGTCGCCAACCAACCAGCAGACCATGCTGCCCAGAGCCACATCCAGCCTGGCCTTGAATGCCTCCAAGAATGGGGCATCCACAACCTCCTTGGACAACCTGTTCCAGTGTGTCATCACCATCTGTGTGAAAATCTTCCTCCTAATATCTAACCTAAATCTCCCGTCTTAGTTTAAAACCATTCCCCCTTGTCCTATCACCACCAACCCATGTAAACAGTCGTTCCCCCTCCTGTTTATATGCTCCCTTCAAGTACTGGAAGGATCAGTAGTATTACATAACATAACAGGGAATAGCAGCCTCCAATGCCATCACTGAAGGTCTGTGCTGGACTTGGCCAGACAAAGCCTGACAATGCTGTCCTGATCTAGAACTGGAAACATCTTCAGGCAAGAGGTTGGACAGGACACCTGTTTAGGTTCCTTGCAACTAGCCTATCTGCCACCCACTTCTTGTGCAAGGCCATACAGCCATGCTACAGACTGCTACTTCTTCATTTCCTCTGTCCTCATCTGGGTATGTATCCTCCTTTGAAGAGCCCAGGTAGATGAAATACTGCCAGTGAGATGTGTTTGTCAACTCAGGAGAAGGAGCTATGCCAAGGGTCAGCCCAGCAGATTGGGTTTCCTGCATGCCCCATGTCACCAGCACCCAATTTCTCTCCTGCAGGCTCCTTGAATCTGCTGGTTCGTGTGAGGAACAAGCGGGCCATCGACACCCAGGTGTGGTCACTGAGCGGGAACCGGGGGAACATGTGGCAGCAAGCACATGTGCCCATCAACCCGCCTGGGCCCTTCCAGGTAAGTCAGGGCACAGCCGAGGAGCTGCGTACCACCCACCCCATCCATGTGCTATGGGAGCTCTGCACCCCATGGTCACTGAGGCAAGGCAAGAGCTTAGTGCAAGCACAGAGGTCAGAAGTGACTTTGATTGCTGGATGCTTCTCAGAGCATGTTCTACAAGAGCCCACCCTCACTATCCCTCTGGTTTAGGACTGTAGGGTGGATATGAACTGGGCATGATGTATCTGCTTGATGAGTTATTTATGAGTACCAGGAAGGTGTGTGGCTTTGTTATCGGATGTTTTACTGCAGGTGCTTTTGCCCAGCAGGCTACTTGGCTGTTGTAGGCTTGTTTGTGAGATCTGGGGCTATGCAGGCTGGTACAATGTGATACTGTGGCAAAATGCCCAGCGTGCTTTTGGGTACTATAAAATAATAAATAAGGATTTAGTTACTCTTGCGAGTGCTGTTCAATGTTGGTTTTGCTAGTGCAAAGTACTTAATAAAACAGAACTCTACATGCTCATTTATTACACTGCAGACAGTACACAGAGGTTGATTCTCTACTCTGTGGGTCTCAGCACTCCAAATCCTGTGTGTGCTGGAAAAACAGGGAGAAGTCATTCACGGGGCATCTTGGTAAGAGCTGTTTTGCTCTTTGCATGGGAAGGAAGCAAGTCCTCCACAGCTTCACTCTGGGCTCTGCCCCATGCTCTGATTGCAGATCATCTTCGAAGGTGTCCGGGGCACGAGCTATGAGGGAGACATTGCCATCGATGATGTCACTCTGAAAAAGGGGGACTGTCCAAGGAAGCCAATTGGACCGAATAAGGGTAAGAGTGCGAATGCCCCAGAGGAAAATGAGCCAATAGGAGTGCACATATGAATGGTGTGTAGGAACATTCCCCTAATTTCAGTGCACACTGATGTATTTACGGGGCTCAACAAAATGGGCTCCATCACCAGAAGTTAGGAGAGGGCCTATCAGACTTCTAACTTGTTCTTTATAGTCATGAGTCAGCAAAAGCTGAGAGGAACAACTGGATACTGTAGGGGCTGTGCTGCCAGACACCAGTATGCTGAAGACCATGTCAATGAGCTGGTCTGGGGGGTCACCTTCAGGTAGCTGAAAGCATTCCAGAAAATGAGAACTTCATTCTCACTGAGGTGGAAGCCATAGCAAAGTGCATGAGCAGTATGCAAGTATTAAGTCTTTGGGTGGGAGCCACTGGTGTCCCTTGTGCCTTAGTCCTGCCTATGTCTTGCCTGTGTCCTCAATAACCTGTCCAGGTGAGCAGGAGGAAAAAAAATGGTTGAGAAAGAGTTCCTGTCAACAATTTTCATAATTTCAATGGTGAAAGGGAAAACAAAACATCAAAATAGTCAAAATACCCTAATTTTTTTCAAATTTTCAGTGTAGTTAAAGGTCCTCAAATGGCCAAACTTTAATCAAACCACAAAGAGAACTTTTTCTATAGCTGAAGTTGAATTATCTGGGGAAGAAAGGAAGGTTGAATTGCAAAAGTAACAAAGATTCAGCATTTTGGCCCTGGAAATGAAATAATCTGGGGAAACCTTGAAAATCCAGGGAAGAGTAGAAAGACCTTTCATTATATCTGGGATGTGCTTCATGGTTTGGGGTGTGAGGAGAGACAGTGACACTGCTGTGCGCTGACTTGTTTGATGAGATCTGCATCTTTCCCATCACTAATTCTCTCTCTCTCTCTCTCCTTGGCTGGCAGCGGTTGCTCTTCCAGGAAGTGGGGTTCCAGCCCAGCATGGCCCTTGTCTTTGTGGCCCATTGACTTTCTTCCTTTACGTGCTGCTCAGATGATGGCAAGTGAGCGCTCCTGTCTTCGGACCGAGACATTCCTGCTCCTTTCCTACTCAGCCACCTCTGCTCCTCTTCCTCCCCTCCTCACTGGCACACCAAAGTGTCCATATGTTACCAAAGACTGACAGGCATGACCACGCAAAGGGATCTGGTTCAGAACTGGAGCACTCCTTGAGAAAGTCATAATGTCTAAGACAAAATTAAAAAATAAAGACAATGTTTTTTAAAAAGCACGTGCACAAGAGAGTGAGAGAGAGAGGAAGGAAGGAAAGAAACAGAAGCGCAGGAAAGAAGGAATTAAAGAAAAAAAAATAAGAGTGAAGAAATGTGAAGAGCAAATGAAGGAGGAAAAATCTACCCCTATATTTCCTTGGGAATGTCGGACAGGGCTTCCTCAGGGAAGTGGGAACTTGTTTTAAACAAACAAAGAAAAATATATTAAAGCACAAATTTCTACCAGAACAGTTACCTTCTTTACCACAGAGCCTGCAGCTTAGTGGACAATATTCCACAGCCTTCTCCTCAGCCCACCATGCTCTCTCACTGGCTGGGGCAGCCCTGCAGTGATGCAGCAGCTGCCCCACAGGCCAGTGGCCAGAGCACCCCGCCTCGTCCGCATGTGCTTCAGTGTCTCCATCCATCCACCCTCCAGGCTCTCATGTATTTAATTGCCCCCTGTGCAGTTTGCTTTGGCCCGTGCTGCTATCCTCTCCCCCACGTTTTTGTGCTTCTCACCCACCAGCCTGAAGAAGATGGAACAGGAGTGGACCAATCCCTTGGATCCTTCTGAATGGTGGAGGAGTCCCAACTGGATTCAGCTGCAGTGCAGGGCCCCACATGCCTCCTTCTCTCTTTCAGCAATTCTTGCTGAGTGGAGAAACTATGAGAGCAGATCTGAGCTGCAGGCAGAAAGGTCTCTCAGTGGGTTGGGGTGGGAAGGGAAGGGGGGAGCAATTACATGTTGGCTTCCCGCTATTTTTGTTGGGATGAGATCTGTCTCAGCCCTAAACCCAGCATTGCTTCTCTGTCTCTTTTTCATTATTTATTTATTCTAGTACTTAACTCCATTGTTTAACTTCCCTCAGCTCGAGCGTTTTGAATGATGGAAAGAGTCAGGCATGTCGGCCTGATATTGCCACCTCACTTCTCAGGCCTTTAGCTGCAGAGAGAGGGAAATGTGGCACAGCACCACTGCTCAAGGGAGAAGTGGCTGAATTCCGTCAGTACGTGCAGCCTTGCAGACCCCAGGAGAAGGGTCTGCCTGCACTGGCCAAGCAGGAGCCATGATATCCTTGCTGCAAATGGAAGCAGCAATGGGCATGACTTACCTCCCAGCACAGGGCAGAGTTAGCCCCACGTTACAGTGCACTGGGGGTTACTTTCTCCACTAGCCTCCTAGCTGAGTGGGACTCTTCCCCTTAGGGACTCCCCATGAGCTCTGTATCTGGAGCACCACAGGTGTGCAATGAGCACATAACACAATGAATATATCAGCTTCTCTGAGACAACTGGGTTTGTCCAAAATCACCTGAATGTATTAGCTGCCTCTTGCCATTGCTCAGCTTCTGGAATTAGCTGGCGCCTTCTTTCCTCCAGTGATGGAGGGGGAAAGCTTTTATTCAACACCCAAGAGATCCAGTTTGAATTCCTGAACACCATCTCTCTTTGCTCCTTGGTGGGAGTTCTGCATTAAAACTCCCAGCCAGCATCAGAGAGAGAAAAGACATCTGCTCTGAGGGTTGAGGGGCCTCCTCCATGCAGACCCTTACAAGACATGAGAAAGGGGATGAAAAAGCTCTCCCTTGTTCCTATTGCTTTTCTCCACTTCCTAGAAAGAGCCCTATCAGTCTTCTGTCTCTGCAGGGTCTTCCTTCCTCCAGAGTGTGGACCTTGATCACACTGTCTATTTGACCAGGAGACCTGCAGCTGTTTCGCTGGGCCAGGCAGTGCTGTGGGAGCTTGGAGCAATTCTGCTTCTTGCTGTTTGTTGCCATTTTGACAGACAGTCAGTGCCCTCAGCATGTTTGAACTATGCTCTTTCAGCCCAATGGTCCGCTCTTCTTTTCACCTATGTTTGTTGGAGGATAGCAGTCATCACCCTGATACGAGTCTGTTTTCAGTCCTAGCAGAGAGGTGATGCTTTCCAGGAGCCTTTGGGTGCTACCTGGTGTCTCCTGACCTGTTAGCAGTGTTCTCTTGCTGACTCCAGGGGTCTTCCACTGGGCAGAGTAGGAAATGGGAGCACTTTCCTATCAGGAAGAGATAGCCCAGGGTAGTCATCTCACCTTCTTCTGGGCTTTGAGGCAGGGATCCTCGTGGCCTTGCTTTCCACGGGCTGCTCAGGTCCTTGGGAGGAGGTTGCACAAATGCATTTTGCTGATGCTCAGTGGGCAGCAGGGCTGCTGAGGGGTTGGGGAGGTGGAGCCCAAAAGTTCAGGCCCACGGACAGAGCAACATCTGTATGGGAAGTGTCCATTCCCTGCTGCCAGCCCTGAGCCCACCAGGAGGAATGTAAGTGCCTCACAAGCCGACCCAGGGCTCAGGAAGCCCATCTGCAGCCATGGGCTCAAGGCAGAGCAAGCAGTCAGCAGTGAGGCCTTTTCCTCCTTGCTGTCAGGTGCCCACGTGCCGCTTTGTTGGCCCTGCAACTCTGGTAAAAGTCTCAGGGAGCCCCTTCCAGCCTAGAGCTCTGCTCCTTTATCTCTGGCTTGAACACGGCTGGTGGTGAGTCTGGTGGAAAGCCCTTAACCCAAGTGCCTCAGCTCGTCAGAAGCACCAAGGGTCTCATTCCCCTGACAGGTGTGCAAGGGGAGCATGGCAGAGGGAAGAGGCAATTCAGCAGTGGGGAGCTGTGCAGTGATGGAAGCTGCTGTTTGTGTGTGTGTGCGTGTATGTGTGCACGCAGCGGTGGACAAGAGGCTCTGTCCCCCCTTCCCAAGAGCAGCAGCGTTTGGGGTTTGCTGCCCCATCCCTGTGCTTGAGGGGGCAGTTCTCCTTGAGGAGGTAATGCATCCCGGTGAGATGTAAAGCCATGCTCCTCAGCCCTTGCAATTAAAGACCCCCCTCACACTTTTCACAGCGTTCTGGCTAAATTACCGTCCTTCAACTTAATTACAGACTGTCGTCTTAAATATCTGTTGCAGTCCCAACCCGATACATTATGTTCCTCTTCTTGATGTTTTATGTTGCTCCGTGCTTATCGAGTAGCTGCTTTATTCCACTCCAGAAGTGGCTGCATTTCAGTGATGGTGGAGATTATTCTGTACATAGAATGAAAGTCCCTGCAGAAGAAAAGTGCAATATAAATTTAAGAGACTGCTTTTATTTACAAGGAGACCTCTGCTTGGTAGTTGTAGAAATACATTAGGAAGAATGCTGTGTGGGTGTTAGCCGATATATACTCAATTTCTTCTTCTTTTTTTTTTTTTTTTCGGGGTATAAAACAGAAAATATGTGAGTGTGCAGGCTCCTGGGTATAAGCTGTAGATATTAGAAGCAGTGACTGCTACTGTGTAGTTACAAGTGGGGCTTACAAAGAAACTTTCATTTGAAACCTCTTTTTGTAGTTGTTCATTGTATTCTGAAAAAAAATATATACATTTTTGTATTATAATTTTCCACGTTTGGATGAAAGTCCCAATAATAGGACATCAACAGGACATTAATCCATAGCTTTTAACAACACAAATGTCAATTCCTACCCCGGCTTTGAAAAGCAGCTCCTGGCTGGTAACAGTAATAGCCTGTTTTCCTCCATGTAAATCAGCCGCTGGAAAACGACGGAGCTAATGTGTTTCATTTGATGTGAAGTTAAGTAATTTGGAATGCCTGAGCGCAGCTCTTCCCAGCCACGCAGGAGCGAAAAATGTTTCATCTCTGTGACAAATCACAGTGCAGCATGCCAGCGGCTGGGGAGCTCCTGAGCTACGTGGCTGGGAGCAGTATGGGTCTGCCCTGCACAGCATGCCACATGAGAGCAGCCCTAGCAGGAACCCTGCTTCTGGAAGCAGTGCTGTTCTGGGAGAAGGTAGGGCAGCAATCAGGGGAAAAGTGGGGGGCTGGGGGAGGTCAAATGTTTAGGTGTTTCCTTCAAGGATAATTGTGGATGTATGAATGAGCGTAGTAAACACCATACAAATTGTATTCTACTCTCTACTGCTGTTCAAAGCATGGAAATCTAATTTCTCTCTATACAAAGTCCTGTGGGAACACTGCTTCAGAACAGCATGAAAATGCATCAGCTCCAGAGACAACCAGGGTGCTCCCTCTGCAGCCTGCCTGTACCACTCCACACCAGGAGAGCTATCTTCTGTTGGCATCTTTGTGCATTGCAGCTGGGCGGGGATGGTCACCAGGAGCAGACATCAGTGCTGCTGGGAGAAGCACTGCTCCATCACACCATCACAGAGGCACCAGGTGTTATTAAAAGGGAGACCTGCAGGAAGGGTGTCCGGGCATGCAGACAAGGCAGGAGCACAACCCAGTACAGGATGCTGGGGAAGCCGGGAGCTGCCTCTGTTTGTGTTTTACTTTGGCTCCTCTGTTAACTGCTCGTCCCACTCGGCCTGGGAAGGCGTTTAATGCAGACAAAAGGCATTTGCAGAAAAACAAGTCCTGGAGAGCTCTGGAAATTGCATTTTAACAGGACCCAATTTACACTCTGTGGTAATAACTGGCAGCTGGTGGTTTCCAGCCGGGAGCTGAATAACCCCAGTACACTCAGCATCCCAATTGATAGCTGTGATAGATATGTGTTTTTCAGCAGTCGCCCCTTTGGAGTAAGACATGTGCCAGTTTGTTTGACAACCTGCCACCACCTGGCACACTACAGGAGATTTTGGACCCTTCTGATGGCTACTCATAGTCTGATGTGGTCACATTAGATCAGGGACAGCCATTTGTGTGCAGGAGGCCATGAACATCCCCAGGAGCACTGCAGAAAGGTGTGACCCTGGGCTGGGTGTAAGCTCTGCCACCAAGCGTCCTTCCTCCAATGGAGGCAGCTCTCTAGGGGGCCTGCAACAGGTCAGCAGGGCTGACTGAGTCTCAGTAGGCACAAGGGCATACATCCCATTCATAACTGCCTCTGGCAGGTCCTGGGGGGGTGGTGGAGTTCTCGAGTGCTGATGATGGAGCTGGAAGACAGGAGCACTTCAAGACATGTGTTGGCTCCACCAGGGACTTCCTGTGACACAAGAGGGCTCAAGACAAACTCCATGGGCAGCTGAGAGGATGGACAAGATGGCAT